GAATCAAATAGATTCAAATAGGTAGGTATATTATAAAAAAGGTAGGTAAGTTGATGTCGCTCTGCTGTACAGTAGGTTAGAAGTGGGTCACTGTATAATGGATGCTATTAAATTTGAATTCAATGATATAATATCATTGTATAAGAAAAACGATTCTGAGCGAAGACGGTATGTCAGTCTAGGTTTAAGACAAATTATATACATATCTATGGTATTAAACAAAAAATTGACTTATAATAAATTCCAAATTAATCATATCACATTATCACAATATCCATTAGGTACTTATAACACGTTATACATCAACATCAATAACAAACTCTGATACTATCATAGATATATAATAGTACACTTTAGAAGTTTCAAGTAGGTACCCACGAATAATATTATATAATCACAACAAAATAAATAGGTTTTTAATATGTAATTTCGTCCAAATTTGAACATAAAATGACTAATAAACTGTGATTGTATTTTTTTTAGATTTTTCGGTAAGAGAATTAACTACTTACGTGGAATCTTGTTTTAAATTTTCAATCCTTAGCTATAAAAACTGAACATTTTATAACTTATTAATTACAATGATTAATAAATTTCGAGATTTTAATAAATGTTGTCAAAATTCGATGTTTAAATGCTTATAAAAAAAAATTATGTCTATGTATTTTTAATATTTTTCAACTAATATTGTAACAATATATCAGGAGCCTTTTATTAAATTTTTACACTTTTTGGCCCAACAGATAAAACTTTATTGATATTCATAGAAAAAAAAACGAAAAAAATTGAAAAATGAAAATATCCGTAAACATCTATAGTTATTCGTTTATGAATAACAACAAAATAAGGAAATTGCTACATGAGAAATCGAGTGGACATCCAATGTTGTAAAAATTTGAATTTCAAACGCTCATAAAAATTTAATTTGACTGTCCGGTAGAGATTTTTTTATTGATAAAGGTAGACAAACTTATGGGTAATCTTGTATTACATTTTCAAATCTTAGATTTCAAAATAAAAATTTTTACGAATTCTTAACTCAAAATAATTTGCTAATTTTCGTGATTTTTCCATATTTTGTCAATTTTTGAACTTTAAATGCTTATAAAAAAAAAACTGTGACTAACGATTTTTAATATTTTTCATCTGCCTTTGAAACAATATACTAGGATCCTTCTATTAAATTTTCAAGTTTTTTTAACCAACAAATAAACTTTTATTGATATTTCTAGAAAAAAAACTAAAAAAAAATGAAAAATGAAAATGTCCCTAAACAGTTCAAAATAAATCAAAATATTTTGAAAATGTTATCGTGTATAGAAAATGCAAATATAAACAACCAGTGAAAATTTCATGTATCTACGGTCATTTGTTTTAAAGTTACACCAAAAACCAAATTCAATTATCTGAAAAATCGATTTTGCGTAAAAATTTAAGTTTTTCCTTAATTTTTCTTTTGTTTTTCTTGGTGCTTTTGAAAAGTACTGGGGATTTTAAATTTTGACCTCCCCAATGCACCAACGATATTCACTTTCCAATCGAACAAGATACTGAAGTCGAAAATCGAAGCATTATTTTGACTACTTATCGTGTACACAGACACAAAAAAATAAAAAAAAATAAATAAACACACATCATTGTAAAATCAATACATTCATCGTTTCACTCAGAATCTAAAATTGGGCTATGACTCTATGAGTGGTGAGTACTTTGTCACCCTAATAGTGACCTAATAACCAGCTATAACCAGTTCAAGTAAAATTATATATTTTTTAATATACAACACATATCGAATACTGTATAATATGTTATGCATAATAACATATTATATTTTTGAAAGTACCTACCTCGTTTCTATTACCTTTGGTACATAATATAGGTACTACATATATAATATTTATAGTTCAAACTTCGACTCAACGAAGCCAGAACATGGAAATTCATCGAATTCGGTTGTTTGACTTAGATTCTATTTCCAATAATTGTGATTTGGGTTTTGCAGTCGTACAATGGTGCGTGTCAATGACAAAGAAATTCCAATACGATATGTGTATGCATCTGCGATCTGATTTTTCTACGATTAATTTAATTAAAAATATGTATGAAATTTATTTAATTTCATACATATTGTAACTTACTCGGCTAGTTTTTTAGCATCTCCGGGTGCATTTACATTAGCACAAATAATTGTATTAAAAAGGGGAAAAACTGTTAATAATTTCCTATTTTAAGAGCCTTCATCCAGTTTTGTAAAGTACTTGAGTAAAAGTGTTCAAATATTTTTTAGTAGGTACTCAATACCATTGATACTAGTATTATAATGAATGTCGATAAGTATTTTAAATACTTTCTCAAAGTATCTGTATTTAAAATCAAATACTATTTTTTAAATACTTATTCGTTTAATTGTATATATTAGTTTCTATTTTAGTTTTAATTTTAATCGCATAAAAAAATAAAATTAAGAATTTATTTCGTTTTTTATTCTTTTACTGTGTACTGAGTGTTGCCTACAGAAGCTATTATTGAAGTCTTGTTTTAAAGTTTTTGCTCGAAGATAATAGTTGTTGGAATGATTATAAGTTTAATATAAATACACGACAAGACGACATAACTTATATTAGTTTTTATCTATTTACCTACACAAAACACAAATACATACACCCATAATAAGTAGTTTAACAGATTATTATTGAAAGAAATGTAGGTATTACCTATACCTTTGTTGCCCAAAATTTACAAATATTAATTTAATGTTGATTAAAAAATATTTGTTACTCATATATTATATTTGTAATAGTTAATTTTTACATTATTTACTTATTTTTATGGTTGTGAAAAAAAGTTTTTGTTGGATTCATAAAGGGGGAAAAATAATAATCGACGGTATAGGTGTTTATAAAAAGTTTAGCATTTTGCGATATACCTAGCTTTGAATGAATATCGGCTACACTAGTTTTCTATATTAAAGTTGTATATTTCATGGTTATATGACTTATATGAATATATAATTATTAATTTATATTTTATATTTTTCCAGATATGATCACGATATCTTGGTATTTAGATTTAATTTTCATCCTGGTTCCAGTGTTTGCTATGCTGACTGCCAATTAAATTTTGTTCTTGCTAACTGCTATTCATTGTTCAAGAATTAAATCTGAAGTCCGTAAATTCAACCCAACAGATTCAAAAACAGAAAGTTTTCTTGTTTACAAACAGAAGTATAAGAATACATTAGGGTACTATCAATTTACATACTGCACATACCTAATAGGTATAGTCTGTTTACTACTTTTGGTACCAGCATAATAATACAATTATTCATTATGTGAGTTAATTTAATTTAATTCTATGTGAGTTAATTTACAATATAAGTGATAAGAGTCTACAAATATGAAGATAATAAAAAATCTATATTTTGACTTGTAATTTATATGTTGTAATATTATACAGATAATATGACGTTATTACTAATTATTCTAAAAGTTTGATAGATTTAAAATTAGTAGTTTCAATATTTTCTATTAGTTAATACAAATCTTCTAAACAATTTTTGATTTATTGATCAAAAGGTATTCAAAATCGTTTCATTTGACTTAATATAACTTTTAATTTTTAATTTTTGACAGATTTGTAATGAGCATCAATAATTATAGTAATCTGAATATGGGAATCCTATATTTTCTTACGATACTACCATTTTCTTCCAAATAAAACGGACTAAATGGCACATTATTTATGCAGCAAGAAGTATTTATATTCATTATATTTGTGGATATGCGCAAAGTTATTATGGACTTATAGAAAAAGTTTAGAATTTCAATGGATCGCAGTGAGTCGGCACAAATTAACAATATCTATGGGTCGTCATAAAAGTAGCACTGGGCAGTGCTCATATAAGTTATAATGATTTCTAAATGAAATTTGTATAATATATAATATAGGTAGATGTTATTATATTATATATTAAGACTGTAGATTGTAGGGTAGTACGTTCAACGTTTGATCTATTCTGACGATGCCAATTAATTAATCGATTTTTTATATAAGAATCGATATTTAACTATAGGTTTCTTAAATTTTGGCAATAAAACGTTTTATATTTCCACCCCTACGGTAAGAAAATAGTGTATGCCTTAAAATGATTATACGATAACAATTGTTTAAAATTGTATATAATTTCGGTATTTTTGATAAAAAACATACAACAAACAAGTAAATAAATTATTGAAACAAAATTAATTTAATTTAATTAACTTATAATTTATTTATGATATCACGTATGAATGGTGTTTAAAGATCTGTTTTTTTTCAGTAGCCGGTTTTTTAAATGGAGCTCGACGAAGTTTTTTTGTTGTGTATATAGTTTATGTGATAGGACCGGACATAATATATTTTTTGTCATGCCTTCACCTAAAGTTTAGTTTTCGATGACGATTGAAGCGTTGGAAAGCTACGTTTACCCGTCCAGAGAATCCCCAAAAGTACAGGGCGGTTAAGTGAAAATCCCCAAAAATTACTGAGCTCACATATTACGCGTATCCTCCGCACAAACAGACACTAAAATCTTAACTACGATTCTTACCAAACATAAGCTTTCGGTTACATATTATATTCATTGTATAACCACCATGCATGATGCTTAAAATAAATAAAACCAAATGGTTTTTTTCATGAAATATGGTTTTCGTAGAATATAGTACGGTTGTTTCATAGGTCCCAGCCTGAAATACATTTGCCGTGATGGCGTGGTCAATGAACGTAGAGGCGTGACAAAAAGTAGGTGTGGCTTGTGCCGCACATGTCGCCCACCACCGAAATAACTCACTTCCCGCCCATGCCACACAATATACTATAATAATGATATTGATATAATTGGTAAAGCCTAACATGATATAGACAATAATCGTAATAAACTTGTAAACTCGATAAACTTCTTACAAGAGCTGGTCCAGAAGTGCGGTTCTGCACTTGGTTCTGATTGGCGAGTACGGATAATGCAGAGGGACGGATTCCGGTCGGCGGATGATGCGATGATGACGTACAACTATTATAACCCGCCAAAGTGCGACGCTATGCAAGTTCTAGTCGACGTGCCCACCGACTGGCCACCGTGGAGGTACTTGGGCTGGTGGAGGCTCACCCGTCGACCATCTAAGGTTGCCTCTGGTCTACTGCTTCGATCTGACGCCATCTGACTGGTGGACCGGACGTGCCACGCGACCTGGGCGGCCCTATTCTCGAGATTCGTCGACAAGAAGTCGTGTGCGACTATATTCGATTGATTATGTCGTAGTTGACTGCAAAACGCTATTATATATTATATTGATACCGATTGACACCTACTGTGGTGCACGAACGATATTAGATAACTATAATATCCGATAGTATTACTCGATTGGGTTTGTTAAGTTATTGAACGGTTCTATTTGAACCCATATCAAACCTATTTTCTTGATCGTAATAATAATAGTAGAGCTCTTACTACATTTACCACCACTGTTTTTATATTATTAATTAAGATTTTTATAGTGGATACTTAATAACTATTGTAAAAGACAGATCTATAATGATTATTCCGCATTCGATATACAAATATTTTAAGCTTCTGTTTATGTACCAACGTGAATAAGAAAAAGGTGCTCTGCTGTACAGTAGGTTACAAGTGGGTCACTATATAATGGATGGTAATAAATTTGAATTCAATGATATAATATCATTGTATAAAAAAAACGATTTTGAGCGGAGACGGTATGTCAGTCTAGGTATAAGACATATTATATTATACATACATAATATGGTATTAAAAACAAAATTGACCTATAAAAATAGGTACCCATAATAAATTCCAAATTAATCGTATCAGTGTATCACAATATCCATTAGGTACTTATAACGAGTTATACATCAACAACAAACAATGATACTATCATAGATATATAATAGTGTACTTTAGAAGTTTCAAGTGCCCACGAATAATATTATACAATCACAACAAAATAACTAAAATAGTTATTTTAGGTTTTTTATTATTTAATTTCGTCCAAATTTGAATTTAAAATGACTATAAAAATAAACTTTGCTTGTGTATTTTTAGATATTTTGGTAACATAATTAACTACCTACTTAGAACCTTATTTTAAATTTTCAATCCTTAGATATAAAAGTTGAACATTTTATAAATTTTTAACTACAAAATATTTTTTCAATTTTCAATTTGATAAATTTTGTCAAAATTCTATCTATAAATACTTATAAAAAAAATTGTGACTATGTATTTTAAATATTTTTCAACTGATATCGTAAGAATATATCAGGAGCCTTGTATTCAATTTTTACACTTTTTGGCCCAACAGATAAAACTTTATTGATATTTATAGAAAAAAAAACTAAAAAAATTGAAATCTGAAAATGTCCGTAAACAGCACAAAAATAGTAAAAGATTTCCAAAATTGTATGGTGTATAGGAAATTTTAATACAAACATTCAGTGAAATTTTCATGTATCTACAGTTATTCGTTTTTGAAGTACAACAAAATAAGGAAATCGCTACATGAAAAATCGAGTGAATATCCAATGTTGTAAAAATTTGAACTTCAAACGCTAATAAAAATTTAAATATATTAAAATATATATCTATTATATCATGTATTTATTTAAAAATGTAATCTCAATCACTTGCTAAAATAGACTAAGATGGGCTATAATGCCATAATCGAATGAGACTTGGTAGAAGACTTCTGCTGGACCTGGTGGTGGGACCAAAGTTCGTGCCGGCCGAACGAAACGACTTATTATTTATGTTACTTGCTGCTACGGAACCCTTCATGTTTGAGGCCAATTAGCACTTGGCCGCTTTTTTTTTAATTTTGGTACAACAATTTCAATAAACAAAAATAATCAGTATCAGTACGTACCATTATATACCATATTTACTGTTGGGAATTTTTTGATTATTTACGTATGTATAGTGGTTATTTATTTCATTATTCATAACACGAAACGCTACTGATATTAGCACCCGATGTTGGTTACCGTAGTTGCTGGTTTTTCGGTTAGTTCACATAACTATTTTAAAACCAATAAATTACAACATTTTTATTCACTCAAATTAAATATTGTACATTTTAGCTCGATGTAGATACAATGCACATGTTCATGTTATATGACCACAATATAATGTAATCATTTGTAATAAACTGGAGTATTGTATATTTCATTAATACAATAAAATATGTCGACATTAAAAACGTGTAAATGGTTAACGTTTGACACATAATTTTTTATATTGTTTAACCTAACCTAAAATAACCAAACCTTCTCAATGCCACTTTTATGACGACCCAAGAGATATTGTTAATTTGTGTCGACTCACAGTGATCCATTGAACCTCTTAACTTTTTCCATAAGTCCATAATAACATTGGGCTTGGCCACTAATATAATAAATATAAACACTCCTTGCAGTCTGGTAGGTAACTGTATCAAAAATATCGCTTACAAATTATAATCAATTTACTTACAATTATAGTTTGGACAAAAATAGATAGCACTAAAATTAAAAATTGGGTTTAAAAAAAGATTTTTATAGTGGATACTTAATAACTATTGTAAAATACACATCTATAATGATTATTCCGCATTCGATATACAAATATTTTAAGCTTCAGTTTATGTACCAACGTGAATAAGAAAAAGGTGCTCTGCTGTACAGTAGGTTACAAGTGGGTCACTATATAATGGATGGTATTAAATTTGAATTCAATGATATAATATCATTGTATAAGAAAAACGATTCTGAGAGGAGACGATATGTCAGTCTAGGTATAAGACATATTATATACTAATCTATGGTATTAAAAAAAATTTACCTACCTATTATAGGTAGGTATCTATAATAAATTTCAAATTAATCATATCAAAATATCCATTACGTACTTATAACGAATTATACATCAACAAAACACCCTGATACTATCATAGACATATTATAATTGTGTAATTTACAAGTTTCAAGTACCCACGAATAATATTATATAATCACAACAAAATAATTAAAATAGTTATTCTAGGTTTTTTATTATGTAATTTCGTCCAAATTCGAACTTAAAATGACTATAAAAATAAAATGTGCTTCTGTATTTTTTAGAATTTTTGATAACAGAATTAACTACTTACGTGGAACCTTGTTTTAAATTTTCAATCCTTCGACATAAAAGTTGAACATTTTATAAATTTTTAACAACAAAATAATTATTCAATTTTAAATTTGATAAATTTTGCCAAAATTTGACCTTTAAATGCTTATAAAAAAACTGTGCCTATGTATCTTTAATATTTTTCAACTGCTATTGTAACAATATATTAGGAGCCTTGTATTTTTTTACACTTTTTGGCCCCACAGATTAAACTTTATTGATATTTATAGAAAAAAAAACTAAAAAAATTGAAAGCTGTAAATGTCCGTAAACAGCTCAAAAAGAGTCAAAATATTTTCAAAATTGTATGGTGTATAGGAAATGCTAATATGAATATTCAGTGAAATTGTACAGTTATTCGTTTTTGAATTACAACAAAATAAGGAAATTGCTTCATGAGAAATCGAGTGAATATCCAATGTTGTAATAATTTGAATTTAAAACGCTCATCAAAATTTAATTTGACTTTCTTATAGACATTTTTTTTTTGATAAAGGTAGATAATCTTATAAGAAATCTTGTATTATATTTTAAGATCATAGATTTAAAAAGAAAATTTTTACGAATTCTTAACTCAAAATAATTTGCTAATTTTCGTGATTTTTAAATATTTTGTCAATTTTTGAAATTTAAATGCTTATAAAAAAAATTGTGGTTAAGGATTTTTAGTATTTTTCATCTGCCTTTGAAACAATAAACTAGGAGCCTTCTATTAAATTTTCAAACTTTTGCAACCAACAAATAAAATTTTATTGATATTTTTAGAAAAAAATTTTAAATTAAAATCTCCCTAAACAGTTCAAAATAAATTAAAATATTTTGAAAATGGTATCATGTATAGAAAATGCAAATATAAACATCTAGGGAAAATTGCTTGTATAAGTTCATTTGTTTTAGAGTTAAACCAAAAACCAAAATCGCTTTTTTGGAAAACCGACTTTGCATAAAAAATCCCGTTTTTCCTTAATTTTTATGTTGTTTTTCCCGGCGCTTGTGAAAGCTACTGGGAAATTTTTACTTTTGACTCCCCAAAGTACCAACTAGATTCACTTTCCTATCAGAAAAGATACTAAAGTTGAACATCGAAGCATTATTTCGACTACTTATCGTGTACACAGACAAAAAAAAAAAAAAACACACATCATTGTAAAATCAATACATTAATCGTTCCACTGAGAATCTAAAACATTGTTTTAGTTGTGGACAAAAAAAAATTATAAAAATGCATATTGAAGCATATATTGATGTTTATTGATTATTTTTGCATATTTTCAAAATTTTAAAGATAATATTATAATGAGAATATTTGAAGGTTTTTTAGAGAATATATTACCATAATTTATTAGAAGTTTTAAGATAATATAAATCCTTTCTTTACGGCAACTATAATATAGTTACATTATATTATGGTTTAGATGGTATTTGCAAAAAATATGGAATTCACTGTAAATTAGATTAAATAACAAATTCAAAACAAGTGGGTCACTGTGATGGATTGTGTTAAAGTTCAATTTATCATATAATATAATTGGTTACATTAGAGCATTTTTCGTCATTATTATTATTAAAATATATTCCCTGAACATATAATTTTTAATTTTATGATAATATAGGTACCTTCCTATATAAATAATATATTTACTTTATATTTTTGTATAAAATATTGTTTACTTTACAATATACTTAAATAAAAAAAATAGATATAAATACATGTATCATATAATATAAATACATTTTTGAAATAATTTTTTTATCTATATTTACCTATGCGTCCTATGCCTGCCACGGGCCGGTTAAAACTTGTTCGCGGGCCGTAGTTTGGAGACCCCTGATATAGTATTATGTAAAAAATTGTATAGTTAAATAATACAATAATACAATAATATAATATGGTAATATAAAACTAAAATTAACAATAATTACGACTAATATGATAAATAATGCAGTAATCTTATACTTTGTTCCGAGTCTGTCTATATCTTGTGTTTGTAATAGCCAAAG